ACTCCAAGGTTCATTTTGGACAACAGAGACAACAGAGGCAGAGGACAAGATCATGATTTATACGCCTAATGCGTGGCCCCCTGGCATTAAAATTCAAACAGTGTAACTTTATGTGAGCAGTGGAAAATGAAAGCGCCAGTAAGACCTTCAGGTCTGATGACTCGGGTATCAAAGTGCCCAACTCCTTTATGCGGTCACTGATGTTGAACCAATGCCTCCACTCAACTGTTACCAACAAAGCAAAGGCACACAAGGTTACCTCCAGCAATCAGCTGGTATTAAGCAGAAGTGCACAAACAACTAAATAGGATGTTGTGATTCTGAATCTGAAATGTTAGCGTTCATGTTACGAAAAACTAAACTGTTTATTAAAAACTAAATAAATGAATGAAACAAGACACATGTTTATAAAAGAAGAAGAAGTATAACAAGTACACTTATTGTAATGTGATTTTATTCAAAATCACTTTGTTCACTTTGTAACTGTGTGCTTTAAAAACTGCTACACAAATAAACTTTTTCTTTTTCTTATGTTGATTGTGTTTTCTTGTATCTCTTGTATATATTTTCTCAGTCCTGGTTTGTCCTTTGGGTTGGGGTCGTGTTGTTGTTGCAGCTCTTTGTTTCCTCGCTCTGTGCGTCCTGTATTTGTATCCCTTGTGATTTCTGGTGTTTGGACTCTGATATTATTCCTGTGTTTTGGGCATTTTGGACTTTGTTTGCTTCCTGGACTATCAGCAAACACACCTCAACCTGTCTGCAAGTTCAACTCAGAGGTCATGACTGCTGTGCGGTATGAATACAGTCCATAAAGGCTGATTCCAGTCTATTTAGACTAAAGTAACACTAAAAGATTGAGTAGCTCTGCTCACCACAACAGCTTTTCCACATCATTTAACAAGAGGTAAAACTGACACAAGAACCAATACTATATGGAAATTCTTAAGTTACTTTAGCTTTTATTAAATCTGTATGTGAGCTTTTACTTCCTCTACTCAAACCAGTGCTGAACTTTATCTCATATTAACAGCTTGCTGTGTCTGTAAATTTCATCTTTCACTTCCTTAAACTTGTCGCCCAAACTTTCATGCAGAGCTCCAGAAATAATTAAAGCTAGGCACACTAGAGTAAGGGAGTGACAGTCCACTTTACTGGAAGCAAAGAAATAGTTATACTACAAGCAAATTAAGTACTGCAAGTAATTTTAAGTAATGTGTAAATCATTTTTGATAACAATTTTTTCACAATTTACAATATAATTTTCATTTTCTTACACAGTGAAAACAGCATTTTTTTTTTTAATTCATAGATAGATAGATATTTAAGTCATAAAGTAAATTATTTCTTCATTTCCTTTACAGGGTAAGCCCAGTAAGTCTTGCTGACAGGTTTCTCTGACTACAGCAGAATTCCTTTATAAATTTGAGCTGCATTGTTGTTTTTTCTTATGGTGTTTCATATTTTAAAAGTAAAACTTCCAAGTAAAATAAGAGATTAAATATTCACAGTCGGGAATTTTGCCAGTGCATTAAATTTTAATTTTTCATATGGCAACTCCCGTAGCTTCAAAAAGACTGTCCTTTAGAAGTCAAAGGGAAATTTAACCTCAGCCTTCACCTCTGTGAAAACTTCCACTGACATTTCAGATTTCAAGTGATTATGATCGAAAAAACAAACAAAAACAAAAAAGGCTGGTGAAACAAAAGATAAAAGATAATGGATTACACTGTACAGTTGCATGAAGTGAACTCTGATATATACATTAATACAAAAGAAGAAGGGGAAGAAGGGGACCACCCTCCAGTTTTTAGCCACTGGGAAAAGAGACATCTCAGCTTCACAGGACAGTTTCATCTTCTGTCATTAAAGCAGCAGCTTGTTTTCCTCCACACTAAAGAATCTCATCTTCTTTTCCTTCCGTCTACTCTCTTGCTCAACTTTTGCTCGCATGTCAAAGTTGTCCTCCAAGACTGCCCTTCCTCTGTTATCGTATCTGATGTAGGACCAGGAGATGACGGAGCCGCTGTAAGACCTAAAACCACAACAAAACACACGCTTTTAACAAGCTTTTAAAACAAAGCTTAAACATTAAAAAGCAAATTTAAGACAAGGCCTGTTTTAAATGAATTTTTTACTTTATTTATATCTTTAATATTGTCATTTATACTGTGGTTATGATTAAACGGTCGGTGTGTGAGTTCAGCATAGAGATCTTACCCGTAATAACTTCTGCTCATGTAGTAGAAGATGTCTTTATATCGCAGAGGATAGTCCCACACCTGGACGTCTGTCAGCTGACCATCAAAACCTGGGAAACTAATCACAGGCTCGCCTGACCACACATACTGAACACACAGAAAAAAGAGAAGATCAAAATTAAAGATGATTAAGTGATTTTGAGAATAATATTGTCTACTTTTTAAAGCCTTTCAGAAATCTGGATTACAGTGAAGGAATCATTTGAGTGCTTTCTTCACTTAGATATAAACAAAACAAAACAAAAAGTGATTCTATGTTGTCATTATTATGTCTTCTGTTGAAGTCTCAGGCACATAAAGGGTGGAAAGGAGTTACTGTTCCAGCTGGTGGAGTCCAGCTATCTCAGGGTCTTGTTTCTTGAGAGACAGACTGTAATGTGACTAAGAGATGGCTGAATATTAAGGTCAAGCTCTAAGTTTACCAGTGGATCTATTTTTCCCTGTGACCACGAGTTGTGAGAAAATCATGGATACAAGTGAGGAAAATGAACTTCCTCTGAAAGGTGTCTGGGTTCCGCTCATTGGAGAGACATTTCAATTAAAAATACTCAAATAAATAAATACCTGAGGTGGTTCATTAATCTGACCAGAATGCTTCCTGCACACCTGGACTCGCACACTACTTTGCTCTGTTTAGTGAATTTGTCTTTCTGTCTCTACATCTACACAGTTTTTAGCATGCTGATTCTAACTTTGTCGACATTCTCACCTGATAAGGCATCACCTTCCTGGGGCTCATATACCCGCCACTGAACATCTGGACCACACTCTTACTGGTGTCCACAGTGAGGCAGACACTGGTCCAGATGTCCTGCTTAATGTCTGGCCATAAGTGCACAATGGGCTGCAGGTCCACACTGAAGGAATCATAATAGCACAGCATGAACGTGTCAAAGCTACGCTGCAGACTCAGAGAGGATGTGTCTGGACTGAGAGTGAAGAGTGGGAAGGTTGGCTGCACAGCGTCAGTCATGTAACGCAGACACACTGACACACCTGCAAGAGATGTAACAAAAACGGGTTGGACAACACATTTCCTTAAAATGATTGGAAACAGTTTGCATCGGGCTTTGACGAATGTTTTCTTTCCTTTAGTTGGTTTGCAAGATATTTTACCTGCTCAGGATCAATGTGAATATAAACTGTACCAATTTCAGCGGATCAATTTCATTGATCTGCAGTGCACACAGTCATTCAGCTGCACAGGCTGGACTTCTGGGTAATAAGGCAATGTTACACTACTGTTTGTTTGTGTTTTTTATTTTTATTTTATTAGTTTAATGGAATTACAGTGTATAAGATTATACACTTACAGAGTCAGCACTTTTGCCAATTTTGTTGTCTGGCTTCAAACAGACTAAACCAAGGGGTGTCAAGCATAAGGCCCGGGTGCTGGAATTGGCCTACAAAAGACTACAATCTGGCAGTCTGTACAGTGTAGAGGAGGACGTAAATTTCATGCTTTTCACTGTGTTTCCATGAGTTTTACAGCTTTTCCTACTGATAAAGACCTGCTCCTTAGACTACAATGACCTGGATGACTGAGAACCTTCACAGACACTTCTTCTTCATATATTCAAATATCTCTGGGATTAACCGTGTAGTTAAACGGGTAAAAAAGAGGACTTTTCCAGTCCTGCTTCAGATCAAAGTAGCTGTTTAATCCTTCTCTGTACAACCAGTAAATCTAATGCCAGTAGAATAAACCGCTGACTGCGTCCACACCACCTCTTTGAATGTACATACTCACTTCTGGTTGGACTCTGTGTGGTTGTAGCTTTGGTGGTGGTGGTCTTTGGAGGCTTGGTGGTGGTGGTGGTGGTGTTTGGATGTTTGGTGGTGTTTGGAGGTTTGGTGGTGTTTGGATGTTTGGTGGTGGTGGTGTTTGGATGTTTGGTGGTGGTGGTGTTTGGATGTTTGGTGGTGATGGTGGTGTTTGGAGGTTTGGTGGTGGTGGTGTTTGGATGTTTGGTGGTGTTTGGAGGTTTGGTGGTGGTGGTGTTTGGATGTTTGGTGGTGGTGGTGTTTGGATGTTTGATGGTGGTGGTGTTTGGATGTTTGGTGGTGTTTGGAGGCTTGGTGGTGGTGGTGTTTGGATGTTTGGTGGTGTTTGGAGGTTTGGTGGTGGTGGTGTTTGGAGCTCCGACTTTGTAGCTTCTGGTTGGGTAGGGAGTTTGGAAATGATAATTGGGGTGATAGAAGATTACTCCTCCATAATTACGAGACAAAGTGAACATTCTCCCGTCTAGATTTATTTCAGAACTTCCTGCAGACAAAAAGACAACAAAAAAGCCGTTATAACGTTTTCTTTCCTTCCTTCTTCCTTCATTATGTGTTTTTATGTTGACTTCTGGGGTCTTGCTCCCAAAAGCAGGTTTAGTAAAAACTAAACAGCACACACCCCAATCCTCTGCAAAGGTTTACACCTTTAAAAACACTAAAATCCAGCTCCTTTATTTCCTTTCTGGTGACATAGAAGAATATCTGTAATGTTTCATCCTCACATTGGAATCAAATTAGTTCTTTGTTCTTTTTATAACTCTTTGCGTCTGTAGTATGCAATTAAATTTCTAAATGGGATGGCTGCAGGATGGCTACCACAGCATCCTGCAGTGGCATGCCATCCCACCAGTTTGCGTTTAGTTAGGCCATCATTTATTTATCAACAGGATAATTACCCCAAACACACCTCCAGGCTGTCTAAGGGCCATTTGACCAAGAAGGTGAGTGATGGAGTGCTGTGCCAGATGGCCTGGCCTCCACAGTCACCTTACCATAAACCCAAATGAGATGGTTTGGGATGAGATGGATCGCAAAGTGAAGGCAAAAGGGCCAACAAGTGTTCAGCATTTCTGGGAACTCCTTATAAACTGTTGGAAAACTATTTCAGGTGACGACCTCATCAGGCTAATCGAGAGAATGCCAAGAGTGCGCAAAGCAGTAATCAAAGCATCTAAAATATGTTGAGTAATTTCACACTTTTTTGTTTACTACATAATTCCATGTGTGTTCATTCATAGATTTTATGCCTTCAGTGAGAATTTACAATTTAAGTAGTCATGAAAATAAAGGAAAGAAAACATTAAATGACAAGGCTGGGACATTTTGTGTTATGTGTTGTAATAGATGTTATATTCTGTGCTTGATGCTAGCACTAGCCTACTGCTAAATAAATGCTAGTAGTACATTTTTACCTGCTAGCATTGAGCTCTGCACAGAGGGTGCTCGTGCAAGCTGTTAGCATTAGCATGAATGTGGTTTTAAAGGTTTTTTTTGCACGGGACATTTCTCACCAGTTAAATATTTGAGGAAGATAACTGTTCTTTGCAATCAGACACAGAAAATCAGCTTAATGTCAAAATTCACAGAGTAACGAAAGTGACATGGATACATGTATTTGCATTTACTAGAAAATGCCTTTAAGATTCTTTTGTGCGTTTACCTGTTGTTCTTGGCCATGTGGGTCGTTCTTCAGTAGGAGCTGGTTCAACCATGGTTGGCATGAAAACCATCAGACTGAGAACAAAAAGTAGCTCCATCTTCATCTATAAAACAAACCCTGCAGTGAACTCGATGTGTTTATCTCTCTGCTGTCTCCCTGAGTCCGAGCAGGCTGCACTTCAGCTTGTTTGCTTTCAGTTTTCTCATTCAAGAGTCAACTTCCTGCATGTTCCACCTTCCCTTTTTGTTCCCACTAGTCTTTCTACATAGCAACAAGCTACAATTACTATGTAAATACTGAGGAACTAGACTTAAAAAAAAAAACCCAAACTTTTTAAAAATAATTTTTAATACTTTGCATATAATTTTTAATTTTTTATACTAAAATAGTTGCAAACTGGGGCACAAATCTTCGGTACCAGCCAACCAGCCCCAGGAAAGACCGGACTTCCTTGATGCGAGGCCAAGGGCAGTTCCGGATGGCTTCCACTTTATCAATCTGCAGACTCACCTCTGCCCGCTTGGTAGCCAAGGTAGCGGGTCTCCTGCCGTGCCCACTCACATTTAGAGGGGTTGAGGGTCAACCCTGCCTTATGGATTCTTCCCAGGACTTCGGACAGGTGCTGCAGATGCTCTTCCCAGGTGTTGCTGAAGATCACTACATCATCCAGGTAGGCGGCACTATAGGGGTCACACCTCTGTAGTAATTTGTCCATCAGCCTTTGGAAGGTGGCCGGTGCCCCATGTAGCCCAAATGGCATCACCGTGAACTGAACAGGAAGACTCCTCCAGTGGAACTTGCCAGTAACCTTTGCACAGATCCAGGGTGGTGATGTACCTGGCCGCGCCGATCTTCTCCAGCAAATCCCCGATTCGAGGCATGGGGTAGGCATCAAACTCTGAAATGGAATTAAGCTTCCGGAAATCAATGCAGATGCGTAGTGAGCCTCTTTCTTGAAGATGATGACCACTGGGCTACACCATTCTGAGCAGGACAGCTCTATCACTCCAAGCTCCAGCATCTTCTCCACCTCCTGTTGCAGTTAAGTGTTGTGGAACCCGGTATGGACGTTGGTGGATGGGATGTCCATCCTTTAGGCGTATCACATGTTCGACAAGGGTGGTCCTGCCGGGGTTAACTGAACACAGAGATGGAGTCTCCCGAAGGATTTGGAGTAGCTCAACAGCCTGCTGTGGGGTAAGATGAGTCAGCACCGGAGATATTGAATCGTATCCCTGTTCGGGTTCTGTCTTCCCTTCTCTTAGCGCTCCATCAGAGCTTTCGCAGGGGCCTGGTGGGCACGCTCTTCCCATTCTTTCAGGAGATTCACATGGTAAGTCTGCTTCGGTTTCTTCTTTTCAGGATGATGAATCTCATAGGTCACTGGCCCCATTCTGCGAAGAACTGTGTATGGCCCTTGCCATTTCGCCAGAGGTTTACTGTTGGCTGAAGGGAGAAGTAACAACACCTTTTGAACAGGTTGAAATTCACGTTGCCGGGCCTGTTGGTCATACCAGGTCTTCTGGCTTCTTTGAGCGTCTCACAGGTTGACCTCGGCCTCTTCATGGTATCTTCCCAACTGATCTCTCATTTCCAACACAAATTGCAGCATCCTCTTCAGAGTTTGGTTGAACCTCTCCACCAACCCATCTGTCTGTGGATGGTAGGGTGACGTCCTGATTGCAGAGATGCCTAGCTGGTTGTGGAAGAGCTGCATCAACCTAGAGGTAAAGTTAGTCCCTTGGTCTGTCAAAATCTCATCTGGTATCCCCACCCGGGAGAACAGATGTACCAGTGCACGCAGAACATTGGGTGCCGTGACCGCACGCAGAGGGAAAGCTTCTGGGAAACGAGTCGCATAATAACACACCACCAAAATGTACTGATGACCCCGTCTAATTTTTACCAGAGGACCCACAATGTCCATAGCTATTCTACGGAAGGGGATGGAGATGACAGAAAGTGGCTGTAGCAGGGCCCTGTCAGACTTGCGGGCTGGAGAAGTTTTCTGACAGGTAGGGCATGTATGGCAATATTTCTGTATGTATGTGTACACTGACAGCCAAAAGAAACGTGAGCTAACTCGCATATATGTTTTTTGGCGACCCAGATGACCTGCGCAGGGGAGGGTATGTGCTAGGTGCATAATGAGGGGTCTACAACTAGACGGTATCAGAAGCCATTGGTGGTCAACTGCATACAACACATATTTTGGTCACAAAGATCATTAAATGTTGGACAAGGCTCTGAAACGAGGTCACAGTTACTTCCCAAGCAAAAGCCTCTGCTTGTGCACACAGAACCTGAATTGCAACAAATAAGAAAATAATAAGACAAATATATATAATATATAATAATAAGACTTGGTACTAGGGCTGGGCCATATTATACCGTTGACGGTAATACTGGTACAATGTTACGCAACGATAAGAAAATAAAATATCGCGATAGAATATGGGTCAAACGCGCATGCGCAGTGCCTTTGTTTTCATATGCACATGGCTGAAAAAGCATGGTGGCAATGGAAAATGAGAAGGGGGGAAAGTGAATTGTTGAGTGAAACAGATGAACCAGAATTGGTTTGTAAAAATGGTGCAACTTCAGTGATGTGGTTTGGAGCCTGCAATGCGTCCTGTCATAGAACCCTCCAACGCATAGTGAGAGCTGCAGAGAGGATCATTGGTGTCTCTCTCCCCTCCCTCCAGGACATTTACAGCACCCGTCTCACTAAAAAATCCCTTTGCATAGCGGCTGATCCCACGCACCCAATGCAAAGCTTCTTCAAGCTGCTGCCGTCGGGGAGGAGACTGCGGAGTCTCCAGGCCAGGACCAGCAGACTGAAGGACAGCTTCCTCCATCAGGCTGTCAGGAAGCTTAACTCCCTCCCGATTCTGCCCCCTCTCCCCTCTCTCCTCCACGGTCTCACTGAACTCTGTCACACACACACACACACACACACTCTGACTCACTCACTGGCCTGCACCAGTTACCAGTCACTTTGTGGAGCATTGGACTGCCATTACTTCATAAGACTCTGTTGTTACACTATCTCTTACCGTACATTACTAAATCTCCATTTGCACTATTGCCTATTTGCACTACTCTGCCTGGTTTACACCCAATGTCATTTACCCATTATATTGTATATTGTATAGCTTTCTTGTTTCTTGTTATATGTAAAATTGTATTGTATTTATTTAAATGTTTACTTTTTAATTATTTTACCTGCATTTTTTTTAATCACTCTTATATTTAAATGTTCATTTGCTATTTTATCTAGGGATTGAGAGTAACGTAGTTTCTATTCTCTGTATGTCCTGTACATGTGGCAGAATTGACAATAAAGTTGACTTTGACTTTG